AGTTTTCTAGATCTAAGGCGTAATATTCAGCTTGTCTGTTTAAACTTTCAGATACAGTGGCCAGAACTTGGGCACTGATTGACACCTGCATTTCTTGCTCCACCTCTTTAGCGATTTCTTTTATACTATAATACATTGCAGCTTTCAGTTTCTAAGTCAAATATAAACAAACAAACAAAAAATTATTGTTCAACCTGTCAGTAATCATTAGCTTATTTTTAGTGGGAGATGTGTTCCCAGACCTGTGAAAAATGAATTTCCATGAAGTAGAGGAAAGATACTATTCAGCTTGTCTGTTTAAACTTTCAGATACAGTGGCAGAACTTGGGCACTGATTGACACCTGCATTTCTTGCTCCACCTCTTTAGCCATTTCTTTTATACTATAATACATTGCAGCTTTCAGTTTCTAAGTCAAATATAAACAAACAAAAAAAAAAAAATTGTTCAACCTGTCAGTAATCATTAGTTTATTTTTAGTGGGAGATGTGTTCCCAGACCTGTGAAAAATGAATTTCCATGAAGTAGAGGAAAGATACTATTCAGCTTGTCTGTTTAAACTTTCAGATACAGTGGCAGAACTTGGGCACTGATTGACACCTGCATTTCTTGCTCCACCTCTTTAGCGATTTCTTTTATACTATAACACATTGCAGCTTTCAGTTTCTAAGTCAAATATAAACAAACAAACAAAAATAATTGTTCAACCTGTCAGTAATCATTAGTTTATTTTTAGTGGAAGATGCGTTCCCAGACCTGTGAAAAATGAATTTCCATGAAGTAAAGGAAATATTTTTTGATTAATTTTAATGAGTATTTGAGCTTTTAAAACCCTCCCTGTACTGTTATATATTCATTCTAAAATACTTTTTAGCTGAAACTACATGTGATTTCTACCAATTTATTAATAGAGCAATTTCTAAGTATTGATTTAACATTACAAGTAAATTTCAGTCGGATCAGGTCATGACCAATACTAGACTATACTGTACAGAGTGTACTTAAGAATATATACATGATGATATTTTTTTTTGTTATCCACAGGCCAAGTCTATGTAAATAATTTTCATTTACAGTTCACACTATCAAAAAGTGATATTTTTTTGGGCAATTTCCGCAATGAGCGTCAATATTTACAAACTGCAACTGTTGCCAAATTGGCTTGGTTGGTTACCGATAAATTAGATATACCACTCAAACCAAAAAATAAAATAAAATGAGTTCTCTTTTGTTACCAACTATAAAATATAGTTCTGAAAAAGTTCGATAGCATTTAAAAATGTAGATCTATTTTATTTAAACAACCTATACATTTATTAGATCTAGTGCAAATTATAGAGCAAAGGTAGATTATTTATAGATCTAACTTTTTTTTTAATGACTTTTTTGTCTTTACTCTTAAGAATTAATATGTCTTAATAAAATGTTATGGGTCTGTCTTTGTGTTTTGTTTTTATTTCTGTTTTATGTTGATGCATTATTTCATTAGCACGTGAACGTGTGTATGGTACACTGGTACTGGTATGTTTATTATTAAAATTGGATTTTTTTTCTTTACAAGAGTACAGTATAGAAGACTTGCCCCAACAGTTACTGGCACAACAATCAGATAGATAGATCTCAATTTTATTTAATTTAAATCGTAATCAAAATATTACTAAATAGATCTATTTAAAATGTAATCATTAGTCTATATAGATCTAGATGGTCTATTTAAATTCGGTTTTTCTTTCACACACACACACACCTAAACCTAGTCTATATCAAATACCGGTACTATATGATAGATCTATACATTTTTTTTATTGATCTATATCCACTACTGTATGTAAGGGGCAAACTTGGAGATGTCTGACATGGCTAAACACATGTGCCCCATTCGGCTGTTAGGGGTTAGCATGGGCTCAATTAAGGGGCACTGATGAAACCTATGTGGGGCCAATAAGAGGGGTGATCACTGAGAAGCCTGAAAGAGCTTAATTTATGGACCCCATCTGGGGAACGAACATTGACCCAAACAGGTGCCCTTAGGGGGCACAGATTGAGAAAGCTGAAAGAGCTGTAACTCATGGGCTTTATTTGGGAGATGAAAATTGGCCCAAACAACAGGGGTCATTAAGGGTGAGTTTGGGCCCAGATGAATTCAGGATAAAACCCATGTGGGGCCAGTAAGAGGGGCGAACATTGAGGGGTCTAAAGGGCTAAACACATGGGACCCATTTAGCAATTAATGTTGGCCCAAATGGGTGCCCTGAAAGGTGAGCATGACTCAGATAGGGGGGTTGGATGAATTCCGGATAAAACCCATTAAGAGGGTCGAACATTGAGGGGCCTGAAAGGGCTAAAAACATGGCCCCCATTTTGGGGGATCATCATTGTTCAAATGGGGGTCCTTAAAGGGCGATTGTGGGCACTATCATGGGGCCCAGATGGAGCCCTAGTGGAGGCCAGTAAGGAGCAAACTTTAAGGGGCCTCAAAGGGCTAAACACAATGGCCCTAATCGAAGGCATACATTGACCCAAGCAGGCTCTTAGGAGTGAGCTTGGGCTCAGGGGGCCCAGATGAAACCCTTTTAGGGACAGTAAGGGGGCAAACATTGAGAAGCCTAAAAGTGCTATAACTCGTGGGCTCCATTTGGGGGATGAAAATTGGCCCAAACAACAGGGGTCCTAAATGGTGAGTCTGGGCTTAGTAGCTCAGTTATGGGGCCCAGATAAATTCTGGGTAAAACCCATGAGGGGCCAGTAAGAGGGGCAAACATTGAAGTCCTGATAAAACTGAAGTGGGGACATTAATAGGGGCGAACATTAAGGGGTCTGAAAGGGCTAAACACATGTGATCCATTTAGGGATTAATGTTGGCCCCAAAAGAATGCCCTTAGTGGTGAGCCTGGGCTCAGTAAGGTGGCCCAGATGAATTCCTGATAAACCCACATGGGGCCAGTAACAGGGAAAAACATTGAGGGGCCTGAAAGGGCTAAAGACATGGGGGATTTTTTTCTGGGCCCCCTGAATGATCTCAGACTCAGCCCTATAGGAGCCTGTTCAGGCCAATGTTCATCCCCCCAAATGGGGGCCATGTGGTTAGTATGAGCTGGTCCAGTTGGGGCCCTTACCATGCCCAAAATCTTTGCTACAAATAACAGGGATCCACTCATCCGGTTTATCTGGACTTTTTGTGGGCCCTCTAATGAGCCCAAACTCACCCCTAAGGGCTCCCATTCATCTTCCAAATGGTGTCCATGTGTTTAGTGTAGGTTTCATCAGGGCTTTATCTGGGCCCCCTAATTGAGAACAGATTCATCCCAAACGGCCCCCATTCATCCTCCAAATAAGCCCATCTCTTTGCCCCCATCACTGGCCCCACGTAGGTTTCATTAGGGCTTTAGGGCCCCCTGACTGAGCCCAGACTCAGCCCTATAGGCGCCAATGTTCCTCCCCCAAATGGGGCCCATGTGGTTAGTATGAGCTGGTCCAGTTGGGGACCTTATAAGGCCCAAAATCTTTGCTACAAAAAACAGGGATCCACTCATCCAGCGTTGAAAGAAAAAAACGATGCTAAAAATTGTCTATTGAGATTTTAATAGGCCCGAAGTCTAAAAGAAATATAATCACTATAATAATGTCCATTTTAAATAAATGTTGACAGCACCACAGGTGAAATAAAAATATAATGTCGTATTTTACTTATTTCAACATTATTCTAGACAGACATATTAAGAAATGTTGCAGTAGTCCTAGATTTATTTAAATGCAATATTGATCTCAACATTATTTTATTTAAATGGTAATCAAAATATTACTAAATAGATCTATTCAAAATTTAATCATTAGTCTCTATATAGACCAAGATGAAGGTGCATTTAAATTCAGTTCTTATCACACACACTAACACACACACATAATCTAAACCTATTACCTAGTCATAGTCTATATCAAATACTGCTCTCTTACATCTGTCTAGAATAATGTTTTTCCTTATCTAGATCCACTACTGTATGTTATTATTATACTTATAATTTAATGTTGACTTAATTAACATTTGACTAGATAGACGTCCAGGTATGAGTATAGCTATTTAAATTCAATATTAATCTCAACTTTAACTTAGAAATATTACATGTTGACAGCACATTAAAATTAAATTTAAATCAAAAAATCTGCACCTAGATCTAATCTGTATCAAATACAAATGCCACATCTAGATCCACTATTTTTTCTGCAATTATTATAATTTAGATGTAATTAATAAGAATATGTTTATTAATTATATAATAATATACTATTCTTTCCTCCCCTATTCAAAACTATTGCTAGTAATAGTGTATTTTTCTTAGTTGTTTATTCAATCTACATAGCTATCCGTATTTACGGTCTGTATTTTATATAGGTCTGTGAGCTCTATCATTTCTATTAGTTTACTTTCTCGCTCTTCCTATCCGTAATTAAAGTCGGTATTTAAAAACAACTAGGTTATTCCCCCTTTTGATAATGCTTTTGGTCTTGATCCTGCTCCTTGACAACGCAGAAAAATGGCCAGGAGTGTAAATACCGATGCTCAATGCGGATATTGCCTTTTTTTTGTAGGCACCTAGACTTTAAAATAAATATTTTACAGTACATTGACTCCGATTATAATATATATATATATCATTGAGTATAAACTATAATAAAACACAGTTTTCTTTATAAATGGTCAAAACCGGGGTCTTGAAAACCATAGGAGTTTCCCTTTAACTTTTAACATTTAGATCTAGACTATTCTACTTCTAGACTTCGTTAACTTCTAAATCTAAAGACGAAAGTAGAATAATGATATCTAGATTTAGATTTATTTAAATTATCATAACTGAGACAGTTACTCACAACTTGAACTTACTCATTACTTTATTAGTCTCAAGTCTCATACTGACGCAGTGAGACTGTGGTGATAGTGACACTGATACTGACCTGTTCATTTGGAAGGCTGTCGAATTCTTCGCCGATACTGCGATCACTGGGCTTAGCCATGATCTTTAATACTTTATCTTACCTAGATCTACTAATCTAGAATAAAATTAGACCTAGAGTCTAGGTCTTACTCTTATCTTATGTTATCTCATATAATACAGTTACAGACTCATGTCATAGACGTTACTTCAATAGAGAAGATGATTATAAAATACTGTTAATTTTAATCTAAATAGATTATCTCCCCGCCAGGGCGTTTTTTTTTTTTTTTAACTTCTAAGATTTGTGCTTCGAAAATACCCAGATCTAGGTAGCTCTACTAATCTTGAGTAATAAATGAAAGACCTAGACTAGATTAATATATAGGGCCTCCTTCTATGGGATTTGCAATGGTCGGAACGATATCACCCAAACACCATTTCCCCCCTCTTCACGCAGTTGATGTATGCAAAGGAAAAGACAGTGCCAATACAGTTCAGGATCATATAGCGGCAAAGTGCCGATTATAAGGGTCGCCTGCTACTGATTTCCCCCCAGGGTTGATTCCCAAAACCTTTTCTATGTTTTAGTATGGGCTACAACGCCGCAGAGTTCAGTTTTCCTTCTCCTATATGTCCTAGGTGGGTATAACCTAGCCAGCCAAGGATATAACGAGCCAAATTTTACTCAACTTACTGATTTAGGTTCCATTACGTAATTGCTCGCCTTTGCCCCTAACTGCTAGTGAATAAAAGTTTGTTGGACCCAATATCTGAGCCACACATGCGAAGGTCAGGAGTTATAATTAGACCTAGAGTCATAATTTACAAATATAAAAACAAAACATAATGAAATACTCAGAAAGTCACAAAGATAGAAACACATTTCTTATTCCATACGCTAGAACAAATTTGTACATTAAGTGCTGTCTTCCCTAGTGCCACTATTAGAGAATGAATCGGGGTGCTTGAATCAACCAGAACAATCAATGGCTATTAGCAAATTTATATGTCATTGAATCTGGGTGGATAAAGACATGCTCCAATTTGATTCTGTTGGCACATTGCGAAAACTCGAGGTCGACCGTTATATTGGTTTGAATATGTTTCATTATCTAAAAATTAATTTTGGCTAGAATGTTTTATGAATGAAAAATTTCCATATGACGTCAATGGAAAAAAAAAAGGTAAAAAAAAAAACGTCGAATGATTGATTACCAAAACCTATCTCGATCAGCTTACGTCTCTATAGGCCTACAGCAAGAAAGAAAAAAAAATTAATTGACACCGTTTGTAGGTCTACGTCATTTGCTTACAGCAGTAGATACACCAAGACATTTCTTTGCAAATTTGAATACATTTTAATGAATCATTCTTATCTTATATAATACAGACGTTACTTCAAAAAAGAAGATGATTACGTCCTACGCGTCATGCATTTAGTCATGCATATTAACCAATGACTTAAATTCTGCCAAGTCACTGGTTTTTCTGGCTAGCTCAGGCAACCCATTCCATGCTCTAATAGCACTAGGGAAGAAGGAGCACTTGTACAAATTTGTCCTAGCATATGGGACGAGGAATGTGCCTTTATGTGTCATTATTAAACATTTGTGCACCATCTTATTGTGGGCTCTATTAATAACCTTGTCAAAAAAAAAAAAAAAAGTAAAAGCTACCTGCACGGCTCTCCGCAATTAACGTGTAAACAATTTACAGAGAACTTAAATCAATAACTAATATGATAAATAATCATACATCGGCTAATTAAATTAAATTTTTTAAAGTAAAAAAATGCTAAAATTTATCGTGACTTGGTAAACTAACAGATGTCATCTATAAATCATGTTGGTAAAGTTTTCTTTTTAAAGGAAATGACTAACTATTCCCAGTTTAGATTGCTTAGAATAAGTAACATAGTCATACTATGCAGCATTGCGGGGTAATATTTTATTTTGCTGGTGAATTAATACAATGTGTTCAATCTTCAAAGTCCACTGTTCCATACCAAAACAAAGTAAACGGTCATAACACAGCTTCTCTACGCCTTACTTGCTAAAATTGAATGCGTATAATCTCCAGCTCTTCCGATTGATTAGTAGTCTTTGTCCGATCAAACATTATCGTCATTTCAAAAATGTTTCTAAAATGAGTTTGATTAAAAATATATTCCTTAACAAATCATTCGTCCTAGCGAGGCTCGGTAACCTGGTACTTTTTAATCATTATTACAAAACTTGTGGCGATCGGAGTTTGCTCATCATTGTCCTAAATATCTTTCCATAAAGCGAACATTTAGTATTTTCCCAGAATAATTGCACGCTTACAAGATTATCATCTGACCTTATTTCCTGCCAAATGAAAGTCATGAAGCCTATCTACCGACTTGTCTACCATTAGAATCCTAGATAAACAATACTGACAATAGACTAGATCTAGAATCTTTTCCAGATCTAGCTATAGATATAGAGTCTAGATGTCTAGAGAGTTTTAGGTCTGTGGTATCTAAACATATAGTCTAGCTATCTAAAAACCTATTATTTACTTTATTCTCTTCTTCTACTTCTAGAGTAACTTTAATTTTAATCTTTACTTTAAACTTACACTTAGTCTTTGGTAACACTTACGACTCACTAATCTACGTCTATCGAACACCTTGTTAAGCCTTAACTTTAGGTACTTATCGAACAACCCATTGTATTTTTTAAAATTCTCCTTTATTTCGATGATTATGACGAAACTAGTCCATTCCTATTGTGCATCGTCCATTTCTTTATAGTTAAGTTATATTTAGTTTCATTTTCGCCTGAGAGTGAGGATAATTGTTTTACTTAGGCATCTTGTAATTTGTATATTCAAAGTGCATTGAACTGGTAATATTGGTATAAAAACATCACTTTTTTTTTCCTCTTGGGAAGAGTGAAGTGAGTCTCGGGTTAAGGGTATTTTTTAATGCCAATGATGCTTCAGCTCAACAATTTGAAACCTAGACTATATATTATGCTTCTAATTAGGCTGAGAAACATTTGCAACTATTGAAAGTGTCCCTTGCTACCCAAACATGAAAATTGAGGTTGAAATAGGGGGTGTTTGATAGTTGTTTTTTTTTATAAGCAATCTCAGCTTTGTATATCGAACACCATTTTGATGTTAAAAATAAACATCAAAGGGATATAACCCAAAGAAGACAAAATATTTAAATTATTTTTTTTAATTGTTATTTTTTTAAATAATGTAATGCAAACTACAGATATAAATTACTCATGTGTTACAATTTGTATCAGCTATTTGTGTTTTACTGTAAATGTGCTATATTTTTATAAGTAAATAGATTTACATCGATATATGCACTAATTCTAACTGATTGTACCCATTTTAAAAGCTTGATAAAAACACTCAGTTATAAAGCAATGTCTTTATTAGGAAATACCCCAATGTCAGTTTTGTAAAACCTGAACAGGAAATTGTTTTGATGTCAAATGTGTTTTTAGATCCGAAATGGCGCCTGTGAAAGTACCTAGATCTAGATCTATAGTCTATAACTATACTTTTATAGTATTGAGTTAAACTTAGACTTAGAGTATAGAATTTATTATAGATAATAGATATTGTTAGTGTAGGTACCCGTTAGTGTCTACCTGTAGGTACTATCTTGTTCAGGTTTCTTTGCAAAGTATTCAGCTTTGGAGAATATATGTATATATGGTAGTTTCTGGTGAGACACCAAAAGAGTGAAAAGTATATATTGATCACATGGAGATAGTTAAAGTAGCATTAAAAAAAATCTTTGGTTGGGTGTATTTGATATAAGATTTAATTTAGACTATGATGCTGAGATAAAATTTGTGTTTAATAATCTTTACCTTGGCTGTAAACCTTATCAGTTGTTAAAACTATGTATAAAAAAAAACAACTTAAAATTGTTTATATATCTTTCAGAATGAGGTATAGACTATTGTTTCATGGCTGAAGTCTCAGAAATTTAACATCTATAATTCATATAGCTTTGATGCCGTACTGATATGTCTGGGATTGCTCACATAAGGATGGATGAAGAGGACTTGGAAGCGGCCGCCACTTACCGCAACCTTGGTAATGGTCATGGACAAGAGTCAGCCCTTCAGCTCTTTGTTAATGCAAAAAAGAAAATAAACGATATATTTCGTAATGTTGGACAATATGTTTGTGAAGCAGATAAATTTGTCAGAGGTAAGAAATTGCAGCTAAATATTAAACAGACTTGTACTAATATCATTAAGGATATAGTTCCTAACATTTTCATAGTTAAAAAAATAAAAATTTTATAAATGTATTTAATAATTTAAAATATATTTACTGACAGTTGGCATTTTGAAGTAGATTAAAAAATAATATAATATTGCCTTCATATTATATGTATAAAGAGGATAAATAATTAATTTATATGTATTTGACAATGCACAATAAAACTTCATTATCCACTAGAATAAATTTCAATTTTCTCAAGTCTTAGAAAAATTTTGTTAATAATCTTTAAATATTTGGTCTTCAATAAAATAAAATAAATTTACTTTTTTAAATGGAACTATATTTTATATAATTCTGTCAGACCTTCTGTTTTAAAATTATTTTCTCATTCAAAAATTTGTTTTTACTCACATATCTTTTTTTTTTTTTGCCAGATAGCATTTCAAATACTTATCTGACAGTATTGCTTGCAGCCTGTTGTCCTTGCTTTTGTTAAGAATCATCATCATCGTCTTTCCTTGCATTCCTTATATGGAACATAGGACCTCAGTAAAAACATGCCACTCTCCACAGTCTCTTGCTAGTTTTTTATGGCCTCCCAGCTCTTTTCTGTCCTCTCGGCTTCATCTAGTATACTGTGTCAAAACTTTCTTTTTGGCCTTCTCTCTATTTTGGTATGTCGTTATTCCCTATCCTGAACCATATTCTTTTAATCTTCCCCCAGTTCTCATTGCCAGGTGCATCTTGGACATCCTCTCTCTCTTTTGACTTGTGGGTTCCACTTCAGTACTAGTTAAGGAATGTTTGAGACTAGCTCAATGTGTGTTTGATACTATCCCACATTTCGTTTCTGATTCACTGGGACTTGTCCTTTGTAGAGGTTGCTGGTGATATTGACTGGTAGATCTCAAGAATTTAGCAGAGGCTGCTGTTGATAAATGTCTCTTCTTTTTTAATGGTGCCATATAAAGTGAAACCTCTTTATATATAAATCTTGAACAACATGAAATATTATTCCACTTTATTATGCACTACTTTTAGATCCTACTAGAATTTATCTTTGGATGTTGACTAACTTCCATTATTAACTACTTATTCAAGATGCACTTTAAAATAAATAACCAATTGTTG